TTAAATCTAATTGATCGTATATATTCTGATTTTTTCACTATGCACTATTCTCATTTGATCCAAAATTATATATATATATATATATATATATATATATATATATATATATATATATATATATATATACACATATATACATACATATATATATATATATATCAAACCTGAATTGTTTATTAAAAATGATTTAGTGATAAAAATATTTTAAAAGCTCTGTTTTTTGTCCTATTTATTTGTTTTTGTGCGTACATATATATTTGTTCTTGAATGTCTTGAGATGGGGGGCGGGTGAACTGTGACTTACAACAACATTAGCACAGTGTGAAGTCCTATTTCGGCAAAAAAACATGAAAGTCCTATTTTGATACTTTTCTCTAAAGTGATTTCTATATATTATTATGTTATTATTCAAAAAAGTTATATAACATTATTTTGTTAAAAACATTATAAAACCATGTTTAAAACTATTAATCATTTATTTTATTTTATTATTTTCCAAATAAAATAACATATATTTTAGTTTTAATTTTAATAATAAAACTTTGGGGCCCCTTCTTTTAGTTTTTCATTAATTTTTTTTGAAACATAGTTTTTCATTAATTAAAATAACTTTCATTGTTAATACATTGAATGACCATTGGTTTTGTATAAAATCTATTCAACATTATTCTTTTTTATTTATTTTCAAGAACAAACATCTTCATAAATGTTAATAAATGTGAATTATTATTAAAACGACGGATTTGATCGAACATATCTTCAGTCGCTTAAAAAATCAGTAATTTGTTCGTAGTGTAGTTTTTTATATGGATGTATTTTTTTATTTAATGAATGTAATTTTTTTTAATGAAAGTAGTTATTAATTAACTATTCTCGTTTTAATTTTTTTAAATAATTAAATAATTAAATTTTACTCCGTATTAAATTTAGAAGATATAGATTTAAAATGTAAAAAATGAAGGTTTGAAGCCCTAGTTTGAAGCCCCAAGGCTTCAAACCCATTTTCACTGAAACTGTGAGGTAAATTAAAGTTGACGTGGCAGAAATCAGAGAGAAGGTTTGAAGCCCCGGGATATTTCCAGTGCTCTCATAATCGTACTCGGGGTATCATTTTGGCGTGTGTGAATCAACTATGCGCTATCTTTAAAAATACAAAAATAAATGATGTACTTTTCGAAGTTCGAAATTCATATTGAAGAGTCCAAAAAAAAATGGTCAAATGATGTACTCTTTTCGTCGCTAAAAGATTGTCACACAGTTTGACTTTTTTAACAAAATATGATATCTTTTGATCATAAATTATGTAGAAAGTATATTTAGCTATAAAGCATGTTTACAAAAATAAGGTTTATTTTTTAAATATACTTTTAAAATATCAAATTTTTTATAATATTTAATTATTTCAAACTATATTTAATTTATTGTTAAAGAGTGGTATACATTGACCAAAAAAGTCAACTATAGCAATCTTTTAGAAATAGATCAAGTATTTTTTTACATTTGAATTTGATATAGTGCCTGTTTGGGATTAGCTTTAACGATTAGCGTTAGAGTTTTGAAAAGGCTATCTACGGGCAGTGTTTAGCGTTAGCGTTTTCAAAATAATCTACACCGTTAAAATTTTATCCAAAATGCTGACGCTAATCTCTAACGCTATTCCCAAACAGGCTCATAATAGGGCATTGTAAATGATCAAAGGGAGAGGGGCAATGGAAAAATCTAATTTTAGAAGCACTTATCGGCAAATAATAAAATGGGGAAAGGCAGGTGAAATGGGAGCGCGGAAAGCGCGTTGATAGTAACAAGACTGACTGCGCCCTGCAAAGAAAGTGATAGTCTGGGAGGACCTGCGCCTTTGCCGCTGCCCCCCCTGCCCCGCTACAATTGATACTCTCTCTCTCTCCCGTCTCAAGGAAAATGTGACCGCCAAATTACATCTATACCCTTTCTTTTTAAAGAAGTTTAAAGTTTTTATGGGTACAAAACATTGTACTACACTCCCTCCGATTACTTTCCGATCATTTTTTAGTGAATAGGGGGTATTGTTTCATATTTTCTAAACAAAAAATTGCTGCCAGGTACCCCAGTTTTGTGGTAAGAACTACCGGATACCTTCAATTTTAAAAATATACTCTCAGGTACCCTAGATTATAAAAAAATATACCAAAAAGGGATTTTCCATCCATTCTCCATCCATCTCAATTTTTCCGTCAAATTCATCATCATCATCATCATCATTATTCCACCACCATATCCATCTTTACGTACTTTCCCCTCCTCTTCTTCTTCTTTTTCTCTTCTTCTTCTTATTCTTCTTCTTCTTCTTCTCCTCAGCTTCCACTTCCGATCCAGACCCCCCCACCCCTCACCCTATTGCTTATTATTATTATTATTATTATTATTATTATTATTATTATTATTATTATTATTATTATTATTATTATTATTATTATTATTATCATCATTATCATTATTATTATTATTATTATTATTATTATTTATTACAAAGTATTATTTTCTTCTTCTAAATTTTTATCGTTAATATTCAAAATTAATATTAATAAATTTTAATATTAAAACTAATTATAACGGAGTATTATTTATTTATTACAAAGTATAACTTCCTTCTACCTTTATTATTTATTATTATTATGAAGTAATATTCTCTTATTCTTCTTTAATTATTATTAAAAAAAACTATATAATAGTTTCACTATTATTTTTACGGGAAGGTTTGACTCCAAAGTCAAAATCAACATGTGGGGTGCAATTGAAGGGGGTGGGAGGGGTGTTCGGGTCGGGGCCGGGTGGAGGGTTTACCGGGGGGTTAGGAAGGTAGGAACCGTCAATTTTACAAACAGGGCACCAGAGCGCCCCGGATCATCCCATGACGTTGCCCTCCAACATCACTTGAACCTTGGTGGTTATTTTTAATAATAATAGTAATAGTAATAGTAATAATAATAAAAATAAAAATAATATTAATATTAATATTAATATTAATTATAATAATAATAATAATAATAGTAATAATAATAGAAGGAGAAGATGAAGAAATGAGGGTGAGGGGTTGGGGGTTTGGAAGATCGGGAGAAAGAAGAAGAAGAAGAAGAAGAAGAAGAAGAAGAAGAAGAAAGAAGAAGAGGAGGAAGAACGAAGATGGAGGTGGTGGTGGACTAATGATGATGATGATGATGATGATGATGAATTTGACGGAAAAATTGGGATGGATGGAGAATGGATGGAAAATCCCTTCTTGATATGTTTTTTTATAATTCAGGGTACCTGGAAATATATTTTCAAAATTGGAGGTACTCGATAGTTCTTACCACAAAACTAGAGGTACCTGTCATCAATTTTTTGTTTTCTAAACCATATGAGGTACGCGTGCTTATTTCCTATTTTTTTGTTTATTACTTTAATTTGTTTTTTTCCTTTTTTTAATATTTCTATATCTCTTTGTTTCCCTTTCCTAGAAAATATTTTTAATTTCTTTCAAATTTTTATAATGTTTTTAAAAACTCAAACAGCTGGGTCTGAACTAAAAGTAAAAACAAATTAACATATTGTTGGGTTATGGAACCCGGGGGCCTAGGTAACTAGGCGGACGAGTATCGAACTAAGTACGGGCGCACAAAGTATGAGGGGTCAAGTGAACTGAGAGTGATAATGTGCTAGTAAGGGTAATACTTAGAACGTAAGTCCCCCCTCCTTTAGAAGGAAAGAGGTTTATATACAAGTTACAGCTAGGGTTCCGACCGTTGGTCCGTAATCCAACGGTCTGGGCCCACTAAGATTGGGTTGTTCACTGGCGGCGTCCAACCACATAATTAACCCTAGGACTGTTACACAAAGTAGGTTACAAATAGGGTGGCTATAGCAACTCTGCCAGAGGCATGGCAGGAGTCTAATCGTGGGCCCCTTNCAAATTTTTATAATGTTTTTAAAAACTCAAACAGCTGGGTCTGAACTAAAAGTAAAAACAAATTAACATATTGTTGGGTTATGGAACCCGGGGGCCTAGGTAACTAGGCGGACGAGTATCGAACTAAGTACGGGCGCACAAAGTATGAGGGGTCAAGTGAACTGAGAGTGATAATGTGCTAGTAAGGGTAATACTTAGAACGTAAGTCCCCCCTCCTTTAGAAGGAAAGAGGTTTATATACAAGTTACAGCTAGGGTTCCGACCGTTGGTCCGTAATCCAACGGTCTGGGCCCACTAAGATTGGGTTGTTCACTGGCGGCGTCCAACCACATAATTAACCCTAGGACTGTTACACAAAGTAGGTTACAAATAGGGTGGCTATAGCAACTCTGCCAGAGGCATGGCAGGAGTCTAATCGTGGGCCCCTTAATCTTGACTAAGCCAACTCCCTCGTCTAGGTCTGGTCTGCCGCTGCTCGTGGCCGAGGCCGAGCGCCTGACCTGCCTTCGGAAGCCTCTGGATGGAAGGCCGGCCGTAGTTCCTCTGAGGATGACCGACCCTGCCGGGGCCGAGTGCGCAGTACTGCCGAGGCGATCTTCGCTAGTCTTTGTCCTGGTTCTGCCAAGTGGGCCTTGGCAAAGTTGGGCTGGGCCGTCTTCCTGCTGGGCTAGATACCCCCATTCCCAGGTATCCATCATGAGTCCCTTACTTCCTCGGCTGAGCGCAGCGAGGCCGAGGGAAGTAATCTGACAGTTAGGATCTTGAATTTTTGAGATTCAAATTTTGAAAATCTTGGCCATGTGTAGGAGTCCCCCGCTGCCCAAGTCGAGTACTGACGAGGGTTGGGGAGTGACCAACTGGCAAGATTTACACGTGTCCCCTCGATTCTGGGAAGCATGATTGCACCGCTTGGGAGATGCAACGTCTCTGTACTGTTCCTTTGTCAGCCGTTCACGATGATTCGTGATCCTACGCGTAAGGAAGCGCCACGTCTCTTCGTAATCGTGCCTTTTCATCGAGTCGGGTCGGGTCCCTTCATTGTATAAAATTGAGAACTTTCCCAATCTTCTCCACTTTCGTCGTTTTTTTTGCGCCGCAGCCTTGCCGCTAATTCCGCTCATCATCTTCGTTCGTTTCCGTCACCATCGCAGTCCAATTTGAAGGTTAGTTCCCTCTTCCCCGTTCTCATGGCGTCTTCTGATTCCAATCCTTCCACCACCGCTGTCAACTCAGCGGTGGTTTGCTTTGAAGAAATGTACCGTCAAGATCCCTCCCTCCGCCCCGACGGCTTGATGGGAGGAATTGACCATTCTAGGGTTCTAAGTGCGGTGCCTCTCCGTACGTCCGTCACCGTGGCGTCGTCGTCTCAGGCGGCGCCCTCGAAGAAGAGAAAGAAGAAAACAAAAACGGTTCAAAGGAAGAACCCGAGATCCTTACCCGTTACCGCACTGGAAACGGGTCCGATTACAAATACGGGTTGTCTTCTGTTGGACATTGACTTTGACGAGGCGCTCCGCTTCGTGGGAGATGGCTACGTGGTGCGCCGACCGCACACAACCAACCATGTCTTCTCAGTGACCTACCCCGACGCCGAGGTCGGGGTGCATGTGGCGTCCATGCGCTACGGCCTTCGCTTCCCTCCTCACGATCTGATAGTCCAATTTCTGAACTTCTACAATCTTCTGCCGGGTCAGCTCAGTCCCCACTCCTACTACTGTTTCTCAATCTTCCTGATTAAGTGTCACCAGAGGGGAGTCCCCTGGTCTTTGGATTTGTTCCGTCATATGTTCAAGATTTCCAAAGTAGGGGCGCTTGAAGGAAATTCGTATGCCGTCGTTTCTTCCCAGGCCGAGTGTGGCATGGCCGTCTTTCCCTCATCCTTGAAACTCTGGAAGGCCAAGTTCGTCTTCATTTCTGGTTTTCCCGGGGGCCGGCATCCCTTTCAAGCCAGGTTCCCCGCCTGTCATACGTTCATTCGTCATCCTCGTCCCCGGGCCACTCCCGAGCTTTGCGCACACATGCAGAAACTCTTGGAGGACTGCCGGCCGAAACCGCCCCACGTGTACACGATCTGTACGGAAAAGAATTTGGCGGGGGTGGGGATGCTTATCTCCCTCGAGCGTCAGTTCGACTCTCAATGAAAGCACCAATGTTGGGTTATGGAACCCGGGGGCCTAGGTAACTAGGCGGACGAGTATCGAACTAAGTACGGGCGCACAAAGTATGAGGGGTCAAGTGAACTGAGAGTGATAATGTGCTAGTAAGGGTAATACTTAGAACGTAAGTCCCCCCTCCTTTAGAAGGAAAGAGGTTTATATACAAGTTACAGCTAGGGTTCCGACCGTTGGTCCGTAATCCAACGGTCTGGGCCCACTAAGATTGGGTTGTTCACTGGCGGCGTCCAACCACATAATTANCTAGGTAACTAGGCGGACGAGTATCGAACTAAGTACGGGCGCACAAAGTATGAGGGGTCAAGTGAACTGAGAGTGATAATGTGCTAGTAAGGGTAATACTTAGAACGTAAGTCCCCCCTCCTTTAGAAGGAAAGAGGTTTATATACAAGTTACAGCTAGGGTTCCGACCGTTGGTCCGTAATCCAACGGTCTGGGCCCACTAAGATTGGGTTGTTCACTGGCGGCGTCCAACCACATAATTAACCCTAGGACTGTTACACAAAGTATGTTACAAATAGGGTGGCTATAGCAACTCTGCCAGAGGCATGACAGGAGTCTAATCGTGGGCCCCTTAATCTTGACTAAGCCAACTCCCTCGTCTAGGTCTGGTCCGCCGCTGCTCGTGGCTGAGGCCGAGCGCCTGACCTGCCTTCGGAAGCCTCTGGATGGAAGGCCGGCCGTAGTTCCTCCGAGGATGACCGACCCTGCCGGGGCCGAGTGCGCAGTACTGCCGAGGCGATCTTCGCTAGTCTTTGTCCTGGTTCCGCCAAGTGGGCCTTGGCAAAGTTGGGCTGGGCCGTCTTCCTGCTGGGCTGGATACCCCCATTCCCAGGTATCCATCACATATACTTCATCTATTTCAAATTAAACATTTTAACTTTTGTTTTCTAAATAGAGTTTTTGAAGATCAAAAATAAAATAAAAATAAAATTAAAAATATGTAAAAATGAAATAAAAAAATTGAAACATCTAAAAAGGAGTCCTATACAAAAAGGAATTTTCAAAACGCGGTCTTTAGAATTGGGATGTCCAGCAATGATATTCATTTTTATTTTTTGTTTTATATCTTTTCTTATTTTATTCCTCGTTTTTTGAAGTTCTCAAAACAACTTTTTTTATTTTAGAAAAAAAAATAAAAACATTATTCGAACAAGGGTTTTTTATTGTTGATTTGAGATGTACTTTGATATATAATACCATTTCTAAAACTAAAATAACTAAGACCATTTCCAAAACTAAAATAAGAAACAAATAAAAAATTTATCTTCAATAACAAATTGAAAATGCAAAAAAGGACAAATCAATTTTCAAAAATAAAGACCTAAGTTTTTCAAAAATAAATTGAAAAATCAGACATTGGATTTGATCTCTTAGAATTAAATCTGCTCTAATATGATTATATCTACTCTAATCTGATTGCATCTAATCTGGTATAGTCTAATTGGATCTGATTGTAGTTATGTTTAAATCAATTTCTAATTAATCTATTTTGATCTTATCCAATCTGATTTAATTTTAAAGAAAATAAGTAATAAGCAGGAAAGATAAGTTGACAAATTAAACACTTTAACATTCTAAAGACGACGTTTTGAAAATTCCTTTTTGTATAGGACTCCTTTTTAGATGTTTCAATTTTTTATTTCATTTATACATATTTTTTAATTTTATTTTTATTTTCTTTTTGAACTTCAAAAACTCTATTTAGAAAACAAAAGTTAAAATGTTTAATTTGAACGCACCTAAATGATATTCCTACACTCCAGCTGTCGAGGGTTCAATAACTTCAATCAGATCTAGAACTTATTCAACTTAATTTAACAACTACCGTGTGGGCTAGTTTTTTCCAGAACTATGAAATGAGAAGAGAATTCCTAATTAGATTATCTGTAGTACTCGCTCGCACCATCGCTCATTCCGAAACAACAGTCACTCAGCGCTACATTAACACTGATTTCACTAACCATATCACATTGTCACACAAGTAGACCCTCACTTTCAGTGTTATGATTGCACTATTATGTTTTATTTAATATTTATCTTTTTTTCTATTCAAATTAAATTATATTCTTGATGGGGCTTTGTTAGGATCAAATAACCCTTATGTATTCATTCGTTTCTGCCCTTCGGCCAAGTACATCATGTGCATGTATATGTATACAAAGGAAAACAAAGTAACCTCTACCAAGTATACAAAAGGTCAATAATAATTACACAATAATATTTTCTTAAGAGTGTCGTATGCTGTTCCATTCCTCACCCCATAACCATGCATGCATTGAATAATATTATACGAATATTATTTCATATTATTTCCTTAACACACCCCTCAAGTTGGAGCATGGAGAAAACAAATGCCCAACATGGGAAGTAAAGCCTCAAACTTGTTATATATTTTAGTGTAATTGGAAAAACTATTACCAATAGTATCCTAATAATCATCAAAGAAGTTTAGTGGTGCGGAGTGCATGCTTCATTGAGTTTATTACGATAAAAATCCCGTCTTATCGGGGGTTCCAAGGGGGCAGCGCCCCCTTGGCGGGGGTTCGGGGGCAACGCCCCCGAGCAGGGTTCAAGAGGCGGCAGCCCCTGCGGGGTCCAAGGGGCAGATTAGAATTTTATTTTTCGAATTTTCTTTAAAAGAAATTTCCTTAGGATATCGCCGATTTTTTGAAGAGTTCCGCGCGAAGGATCGCGTGTCTTGGGTAAGAGACGCGTTCGCGTCTCCTCTTCTCACCGCAACTCCATAAATTCCCACGTATTAATGGTCGAAGGGTGTTCGGATTTTTCATAGCAATTTTCATATTTCGTTCTTGATATTTTCAAGTTTTATCCGATTGAATTTTGGATTGAACAACCAAAATATTCAATCTGAAAGTTTTCTACACTACTCTTGATTCGTCCAAGTTTTCGTTAATTTCTCCAACAAAACTGTCCTTTACCAAGCGCCTTGGTGAGAATATCCGCACATTGATCGCGAGTTGAGACATGAGATACTCAAATAGAACCGCGCAATAATTCATCCCGAACAAAATGACAATCAATTTCGATATGTTTGGTGCGCTCTTGAAAAACCGGGTTTGCCGCAATATGAAGAGCCGCCGTATTATCACAAAATATCTGCATCGGGGCGGGATGATGCATGCCCAAAAAGCGTAAGAGACCACGAAGCCATTTGAGCTCGCAAGTTAGGACGACCATGGAGCGGTATTCTGCCTCCGTAGAGGATCGAGCTACAGTAGGTTGTTTCTTGGTTTTCCATGATATGGGGGATACACCTAGCTGGACGAACCAACCGGTAAGAGATCTACGAGTCAAACGACATGCGGCCCAGTCGGAATCACACCAACCTGTCAAGTGGAGTGAACTATCAGAACGTAAAAGAAAGAGCTTGATTTTTTTGTTTGCTTTAACTTTTAGAGCGTGTTCTTTATGCCTGCAAAAAAGAGCTGGATGTTGGAAGAAACTAGATGAAACTGGAAGATTCTGGAAAAAACTGAAAAAAATTAGATGAAACTGGAAAAACTAGAAAAAATTAGAAAATCTCAAAAAACTTTAAAAATTTTATTTTAATGTATTTTTATATTATTTTCATTCAAATTCGTGTTTTTATAGTTTATTATTGTTGTTGTTGTTGCTGCTGCTATTATCACGTTATCTTAATAATTGTTTTTATTCACAGCACTGTACTCATATTTTTCACACACTTCCCAACTATTTCTTTGAATTATCCATTTTTTCATATTGCTTTTACACATTTCTCGCCACAATGTCGTCTCCTTCATCTGATGTAAGGAAAACGGAGAAAAGGGGAAGGGGCACACCCCATACCCTAATCTAAAAGTAGGGGGTAAAAAAGACCTTAAAGGAAGAGGAAGAATTTAATTGAACCCTCGAGGTTCATGCCGGCAACATTACTTGCTAGCTTGTGTAGGCATCATTAATAAACTCACTGTCACTTTCACTATAGTAAAAACCAGAAATAGCCACCCAAAACTTCACCAGCATCTTTACTGTGAGTGGCACTAATTTACTTGTATATAGGCAGGACAGAAGATAGCCCATCTAGTCTAGCCATCTGCATGCTCCAGGAGTAAGTACTCCCTATTCTTGGTTTGACTATTTTGTCCCTACTCAAATTCCAAGTTTTGTCCTCACTGGACCTGACCTGGCAAAATAGAGGTGGAATCGATCACGTGAAGCAAAATTGATATGACGCGAAAAGTGAATATCCGATTTGTAACTAAAAATCTAAAATGATCCCAACGTAACCCGAACTAAATAATTCATATCTGATTTTAAATCTAAAACTAATCAGATGCAAAGCGATTAAATCCAAAATGGATATTACCCGAAAGTGATAATATTCAAAAGGATAATTTACCTAAATAAGACTAAAACATAATGAATTTCTCAATATAGGACCATATGTTTTTATTTTCCAATGTAGAACCATTGGTCATTATCTATTAGTCATTATTCAACTAAATGTCAAGCATCACTTGGACATTATTATTTTCACTAGTCATTATTAAGTCCTATTTAGGAAATAAAAAAATTTAAGTCCTACATTGAAAAATGACTTATGTTTTAGTCTCATTCAGTACAAATTTCACTATTCAGATCAAAATTGATAAGACTCGAAACCGATAAAACTTGTATTTTCAAATTTTTACTTTATTTGAACTAGTTATATTTTCAAATGTTTATTTCCCATATATTTATCGGTGAGCCAAGAAAACTGATAGAGAAATTAGTATATGAACAAAAATAAAGGAAATAAAAGATTTGAAAAACTCCTACCAAATATTTTGCTATTAAGGTAAAATTTGAAATTTAAGACCTTTGCAAAGTTTATCTGTATCTATAAGCCTGAAACATCTTTTTATTTCTAAGATACTTAAAAATTACTCCATCTATCTCTTAAAACATTTCAACTTTCACTTGTTATCCGTCTAATAAAACATTTCAATTTCGTTAAAAATGGATATAATTGTCCTTACTTTTCTTAAATATATAACCAAACGTACCTCAACTACTTTCCACGCTCTACCCG